ATAAACGTCAGGATGCCGGCCACTCGTCTTGTAGAGGCCGATATGTCTAAACCCTCTACCCAAAGGCTCCAATGTAGTTCCTTTTTGGGTTCGGTATAGGGGATTCTAGTATACTGCCCCAAAAAGGGACTACATAGGAGCCTTTGGGTAAGGCCTCTAAGCCCTCTAAACCCTTTGAACTCTCTGAAGCCTTAGAACCCCCAAGCCCAAACGAACATGAATCATCAGACTCTCCCCTTAGCGGAGTCTCCTTCTTCATGGACCAGAAGTCCCACAGCTTCAGAATGATGTGCTCTACCGATCTTGCTGTCTTACATGAAATCCCCCAATGCCCAGACTTGTACTGACAGTGCACTACTACAGGAGAGCCTATCCACGCACCCTCCCCATTTGGAATGCACATAACCTGCTACCAGTACCGAGCAGCCAACCTGATTCAAATCTGTGCCGGCATAAACGGGCAGCTTTCTCACGCATGCGCTGCTGGGTTTAGGGTTTAGGGTTTAGGGTTTAGGGTTTAGGGTTTAGGGTTTAGGGTTTAGGGTTTAGGGTTTAGGGTTTAGGGTTAGGATGATTTCAACAAGTCAGGCACCAGTTTGGAACAGCGTGCTAAATGCTTGTCGTGCAGAGCATGATGCGCGGGTGCTCCAAAGCATCACGGGCCCTACGCCGGCGTGTAGGGCTCACTGTCATCCTTCAAATTTTCAATACCTGTCAACATAGCCCAATATCCTCGTGTTGCACAGTTGTTGGGCCCCCAAACCTTGAAATATGAGCAATGAGAGCAGTACTTGGAGGTTCGATGAATGGTACTTTACAATTTACAAGTAAGGTTACAAGCAGGGGAACTATGGTTGCCTTTTTGAGGGTACTTCGAACCCTACCTAGAGGTACTCGCACCCAAATGAACCTTCAGTGGAAGACGTGGCACCATGGTTCCCTCATACCTTCCAAGAAGTCAGGTGAAGAAATCCCCAATATCAAATTGGGGTATTCGGGTTAGGGATTAGGATTTAGGGTTTAGGGAACCCATACCAATATCAATTATATGAAATGAAGGTATTCTGATTATCATGCTTATCTTATTAAAAAAACACTCTTGAGCATGGTCATTAAACAAGACCCAAAACAGCACCCGCCATTATTATTATTTCTATTATTATAATTTTTAGTAGTATTATAATATTATTATTATTATGTTATTCTTGTTCTTGTTATTATGAAATCAGATTTTTTTAGCATCACGTTCATATTCTTCCTTGAAATTCGGCCTTAGGAGTGCCACTGTTTCGGTGAGCTTCCCGGAGCCTTCGTCGAGTCGCGGCCCCTCGGCCGTTTAAGGTCTGTAGGGGTTTAGCGTAGTCGTAAGCCCTAAACCCTAAACCCTAAACCCTAAACCCTAAACCCTAAACCCTAAACCCTAAACCCTAAACCCTAAACCCTAAACCCTAAACCCTAAACCCTAACCCCCCTGTTATTCGGTTTTGGGGCTTCACTGCAGCTCTGTTACAGGGTTTGCTAGGTTTGGCCCCTGCCAGCGATTGGGCTCCAGATCCTCCAGGCAGTGCCGTGGTACCCTGATTTTTCGCTTTCTGGGTTCTGGGTTCCTTTCTAACCCTATTCACAGAAAAAAGAGCACCCTTAAGACTTAGGGTTTAGGGTATCATGATACCGGGAAACCTAGTTCTAGGGCTGAGAGAGCTCAAGGGCAACTCTGGCGAAACGGAGGAAGCACTGTCAAGTATCCACTTCTAGGGAGCTCAAACGAAGATTGCCTGGAGCTTGTGCCCTATCCCTGTTTTGAGTCTAGTTAGGATAGCAAGGAATCTTAAGCTAAGGCCTAAACCCTCAACCCAGGGTAGAAGCCTCTGGAGAGTGGGGGGGGAGTTGTGCCCCCATTCTTTCGCTCTTTCAATGGAAATCCCCTCACACCTTCTGATCCCCAGGCCGCCATAGAGAGCCCAACAGCCCTATGAGTTTTTAAATGGACCCGCGTCCTGAGACCCAGTACCCCAGAAAGCCCTAAATGCTCAGCCCTAAACCCAAAACCCTAAATCCTAAACCTCTAAACCCTAAACCCTAAACCCTAAACCCTAAACCCAAGCCCTAAAAGGGCTCCTGCTGAGACCCCCCAACAGCAAAGAACATGTCTAAGGTTGGCACCGGCGCCGCTGCTGTCAGCGCGCCTTGGCCGTTAGAGTCCGCAGGCCCTTCGCAGGGTTTAGAGTTTAGGGTGCCAGCCGGATTTTGGGGGCTGAGGCTCACCCCTCTGTCACCGTCCTTCACATACCCCCGAAACGAATAGACTAAATCGCCATCTCCGAAGCCCACACTTTCTAGCCCCTAGCCCAGGTAATCCCGAATGCCTTCCGGCGCATGTGCAACTCCCCTACTTGGAGGTTCATGGGTGCTTAGAACCCCAATTCTAAGTCGACTTATATAACCGCCCACTTAGAGGACTTCGGGGACTTGGGGCCTTTCAGTACACTTAGAATTGGGGCTACAAGTACCCTGAACCAAGCAAAACCCTAAACCCTAAACCCTAAACCCTAATTGGGGGTTGAACCTCCAAGCATCGCGCCGAGGCTGCTAAAAGCACACCGCCTGGCCTCCGAGGCGTGCTGAGACGTTGGGAGGGGTTTATAAAGGGTTTGGGGTTTAGGGTTGAGGGCTATGACTGGCCCAGGAGCCCCCCTCTTGAAGCCTTCTCAGAGGGTTCACGGGTACTTCTAAGTGGGGCTATAAGTAGGGCAACTAAGGTTATAGTTCTTGTTTGGGGTACTTATAAACATATCCCACTTATACGTACACAAGAACCGCCAAGTAAGTGCTGCATAGACGGGTGGCAGATTCGACGCTAGCCCTAAACCCTCAACCCTCAACCTAAGCCCTCAACCCTCGACGTTCTCCTCCCCCTAAACCCTGAACCCTCAGCCCCTAGCTGCCCTCACCCAAAACGGGTCTTCCGCCTGTGCAGAGGCGCCTTCCATCGGTAGCCAGGCTGGGAGTTGGGTCTTTGGCTATTTAGGGTTTGGGGTTTGTGTTTAGGGGTTAGGGTTTAGGGTTAGGGTTTCGGGTTTAGGGTTACCGGGTTTGGGGTTTGGAGGTATGAGGCCTGCCACGTTTCAGAGCCAGCTGACATGCAGAGTCTGTGTTCAAAGAAAAGGTTTAGGGGTTTAGAGTCGGAGGTTTAGGGTTTAGGGTTTAGGGTTTAGGGTTTAGGGTTTAGGGTTTAGGGCTTGGGGTTAAAGGTTTCGGCTTCAAGGCCTCGGGGCATGTTGCACGAAGGCAGCCTCGTGAGCGTTGAATCGCGAGATTCCTGGGTTTCTGACATTGGCTTCGTGAGCTTTTCAGGGGCTTATTTGCCCAAGAATTGAACTTTAAACTGTTTGGGTTTCCTCATTTAGTAGGAATAAGAAAGTTTGACCTTATTCCCCCCCCGTGGTTCTTGGAGAAGTAAGGAGGGCGCATGGGCTGATGGCTTTGAGAACAAAGGGGGGCTCTGGCTGGGGCGGGGGATATGGGTTGAACTGAAAGAGAGTCGAAGGCCCTGAGCCCTCCTACTTGAACGTTCCTGTTCATGTAGGACTTAGGGTTTGGGGTTTAGGGTTTTTGGGGCTTGGGAGGTAGAGTCAGGGACATATGCCTCAATGCTTGGCACCTTTGCCATTCGTAAAGGCAGCTCGTAGAACCCCAGCAGCACATCAAGAAGCCTTAAGCCTTCTTAAACACCCTAAACCCTAAACCCTGAACCCTGAACCCTGAACCCTAAACTTACAGAACTACTGACCTCCTGGACGGAGGCCGCCTGGACTGCACGCGTGGAGGCCGGCCCCCCCCCCCCCCCCCCCCGAGTTTTCAAGTTTACTTGGAGGTTCATGGGCACGTATATCCCCAATTTAGGGTTTAGGGTTTAGGATTTGGGTTTAGGGTTATAACCCCAATTATATGTCTAGCTTATAAGGGCAGTTAAAATTCGTGTTAGAAGTACCCTGAACACCCAAGTAGGTTTGTCCACCTCGACGGAGGCTGGTAGAGGTTCGTACTTAGGGTGTAGGGTTTCCCCTAAACCCTAGACCGTAAACCCTAAGTATCGACCTGCCTATAAGCCCTCAACCATCGTTGGCGTCGTGGGCTTTGTGAGGGGAATCCTCTTTCCCGCGTGGGACATATAGCCGGAAGCAATTCCACCAAAGCCCTATAGCCCCATCCAGAAAGGCGACGTTGGCACCGCTGGTGTCTCTGGTGCTTTGGGCGTTCGGCCCGTGCTATCGGACGCTTGGGCTGCAACTGAGAAGGTTCAGGGATAAGGGTTAGGGGGGTTACGATTTAAGGTTTAGGGTTTCGCGTTTTAGGATATCCGGCAGGAGCACCCACACGATTGGCACGATGGAGTTGCGTTTTCCAGGAAGAAGGGCACTCATCCTCCTAAGCTTCCTAGCTCTTTAGGGTTTAGAGTTTGGGGTCTGGGGATTAAGGTTTGGGATTCGGGATTGGACAAGGACCCCAACGCTCGCCATCCAATTCCTGATTATGTGCACACAATCGCTCAATCAAGGCTTGTCCGCCCAACCCTGTGGTGTGACGTCCTGCCTGGGACTTTCCATGTGGCAATGCAGGGGCCCACATAATGATCGATCTTACTCGAAGCTAGCCAACATACTTGATCCAAAGTAAGTCGGTCACATTTACCGATGCCTTTTGTGCTAGGATCTGCTTCTTACAGAAAGGGATAGAACCTGCAACCTTAAACCCCACACCCTAAACCCAAGAAGGAAACCTCCCTTGCGCCTCCACACTGAGGCGCCACACCCGCGCAGCAGTGCTAAGGGGCTCTTGCCGCTCAGCAGACTTCTCTAACAACTGCTGTTCTGAACAGTTCTCGTACTGTTAATGCATGCTTGTGGCTATTCTTACTCTACTAGTGCACGTACATTTAGAAGTATTCCGGCTAAACAGATTGTTGTTGCTATTGTTGAGGTTGTGCGTCTTTTTTGCAAATGGCTTCAGGGGACGGGTATCGGGTCAACCCAAGACCCACGAACCCTAAACCCTGTAGACCCTTATAGACCCTGACAAACCCTTAAACCCTTTCCTATCCCCCCCCCCCCCCCCCCCCAAAGTATGTAAAATAGCGGTCCTTTTTATGGGTTTTGGCGCTCTTGCAGACCCTGATCAATCCTTAAGCCCTAAGCCCACGAGGTCTCGCTGCGTGGCCGGTGTCTTTGGTCTTTTGCCTCCAGAAGCGATGGCGGGCTCGACGGGGGATCAGCCTCTTCGACTCGCAGCCTTGAGGTTGTAGGGCTAGGGCTTAGGACCTATGGGGCTTAGGGTTTGGTGTTCAGGGTTTAGGGTTTAGGGTTTAGGGGTAATTTTCCTGCACCCGGCACCACCCCAACCGATACGGTGGGGCCCGGCGTGCACCGTAGAGCCTCACGTGAAGTATTTCCAAGCCAGGGGGTCCCACTCACATGCTTATTGCCCTTCCTTGTCTTGTTTCAGGATGGGAGCCTCGCAGATAATGTTAAGAACCCAGACCCTAGTTAACCGAGACCCGCTCCCATAACTTTGATGAAGCCAGGTCAATCCCCACGTGGCAGCAAGTCGCCTGCCCTTTAACCTGGTGAGCTCAAGTCAGGATTCCTTCAAGGTGGCCTATGAATATTTCAAGAGGCGCACAACCCTCAGCAAAAACGACCCTCCAAGCCCCAAAAACCTAAACCCTGTATGCTAATAGGGTTAGTATCATCCCTATTAGGGCTGTTAGTAGAAGGGGGAACATCCCATACCTAAACCCTACAAGCCCCCAAAGCCCAAAGGCTTAGGGTCTCGGGATCCTGTCGAGCTGTGGAGCTAAGGCAGCGTCCGTGCCGCCATCAAGCAGCTGGAGCCGGAGCAGCTTGGTGCCCTTCAAAACTGGGTTTTGGAGTACTATACTTGAATCCTCCTTTTGGTTCTGGGTTCCCATGATAGCTACTTATACCTGAAAAGTATGTACTTCTTTTCCAGGGTTTACTCCGAAGTAGGGAAAAGGGGGTTGTTCAGCGTTAAGGTTTGCTAGGGGACCTGTTGATAAGGAAATCCGCTGTGAAAGATATCTACAAGAAGGGTCCTTCCTATTTTGGGGGGTTACGCTTCTCGAGTTGATTGAAATTCAGTGTCCGATGAGTTTTCTGCCTTCAAAAATCCCGTCATTGAGGGAGGATAAGTTCCTTCTACAAGGAATCTAAGTTCAAAGGCATCTCTACTACAGGATCTCCAATAACCCAGAACAGGCCCCAACATATGTAGCTGACTAGTCTGTAAATCCTACAACTACTATAAACACCTAAACCCCCCTAAGTCAAGCATAAAGAAAGCCGATAAACCCCATAGTTCAACACGAAACCCCACATAAACCCTCCTAAGTCAAGGATAAAGGCTGCTATTGAGCCTCAGTCAAAACCCTTGGTTAGGCCTTCTCGAGTTTGAGGGTTGAGGGCGCACGGCCCGAAGCGCGTGTGATTTGGGTTTAGGGTTTAGGGTTTAGGCGCTGGCCGCCCCTAAGCCCTATGGTAAGGCTCTCGCGCTTCTTAGAAGACTGGGAAGACCGCAGTCGGAGGCTGCAGCGTTGCTTTGTTGTATTGGGTTTAAGCAACTTCCCCTAACGTACCCTACTTGGAGGTTCATGGGTACTTATAGCCCCAAATATAAGTCTACTTCTAATCTACTTAGAGGACTTAGGGGACTTAAGGGGCTTGTAAGTACAGTTACAATTGGGTATAGGAACCCTGAACCTCCAAGTAGCTTACCCTAACATTAAATACTCCAGACACACTACGTCACGAGCATGGCAATGCTCAATGTAATTAAGGCTGTGCAAGGTGCTTGATGCTGGGGGAGGGGTTTGGTACGTTTCGGGTGTCTCTGGTGTCTCCAAGTGATGCCCTGTTCGCGAACTCTCTAGGAGCCTCCCTGAACCCTTTAAAGGCCTCAACCCTAAACTTTCAACCCCGGCTGAAGCCCAAAGGCTGCACCGCAGGGCTTTTGCTTGCAGCGCTTCTCTCGAAGTCCATCTTGGGCGGCGGGTGTTTTCTTCGTAGCTCTTCTTTGGCTCTGCCGCTGTCGAAACTATATTGTGCCGAAGCAAAACCCTGCTACTTGGGAGGTTCATGGGTATGGATAACCCCAATTAGAAGTCTACTTGTAACCTACGTAGAGGACTTGGGGGGCTTATAAGCGCATTTCTAATGGGGGTTATAGGGCGCCCTGAACCTCCAAGTACGCCCTGAGATGATCGCGAGAGGCTCGCGGCCTTCGACGTGCCGTCTTTGGACGAACTGGCCTTCTTCGCGCACGCGCGGCCGCTAGTAGGCCTTTCTGAGGCCCGGGCCTTTCATTCATGTTAGGCATGGCGTGTTCGACATGGCTAACGGTTGGGGTTGAGGGCCCGAGAAACCCTGAATACTATAGATGGGCCTCCCGGAATATTCACAAGTCATCTATTTGTAACTGCTCAAGCTCAAACCAGCAACCTCGAAAACGCAATGTTGGCTTTTAACGTTTTAAGGTTGCTGTACTTCAAACAAAGCAGGGCAAGCAAGACGAAGTTCGAAAGGACTAAAACCTTGTACGCCAGGCCGGAAATATTAACACAGTGACAGCCATGATGCGTTTTGTGTGTTACTCATTCCGGCTTGACTCTTAAATGTATAACACTCGGCAACTCTCAAAAGTACCCTATTTCTTCATGTCTAGTACTTTGGGGCTTGCTTGTTAAAGTTTTGAGAGGATTCCTGGTAAAACCTTGTAAGATTAGTAGAAATAGGGTTTATTGGCATTGTTGTGCAATGTTTTCATAGTTGAAAAAGTGCAAGCCGAATACGTTCACACAAGAGCAAAACGTCAACAACGTGCTTGTAAGTTTTTCAGGTGTGCAACTTATTCAAAACTAAATAACTGGGGCTCGCTTTTTCAAGCAAACCATGGACATCGCTATGCGGCTGGCAAAACACCCTACACCTTCAATCCAGCATTGCACCACACCCCAAACCCCTTAACCCTTAAACCCCTAAACCCTCAAACCTGAGCCCCAAAACCCTAAGTCCCTAGACCCCTAAACCCTAAACCTCTGAACCCCGAAACTCTATAACAGGACCTTTGCCCGCTTGCGCCAGAGCTGCACCAATGGCTGAAAGGGTGCACCGAGGCGCTTGCTTGGATGCCATTATTGCAGATAGGGTTGAGACAATTAAAGGATGACTCAGGGGATTGAGACGAAACTTCCCGAAACTCTAAACAGCAGGGTCCATGGACCTTATGGTCCCTGTTTGCTTGCGGTCCCTGTTTGGGGTCTCTTCTCCACTATGATCTTTCTCATCTTGTTGGGCACCGAAGGGGGGTCACGATGAAACTCCCCCCCCGGAGGGTCACGGTGAAACTCCCCCTCGAAATCCCAAAACCCATCAAAACCCATTGAGCCCACTAAGCCCATCAGACTCTAAACCCTAAAACCCTAAAACCCTAAACCCTAAACCCTGAACCCTGAACCCTGAACCCTAAACCCTAAACCCATTACATCCACTAAACCCATTGCAGAGCTGGGCTGATCCTGGGCTTCTGCATGCAGCAGGCCATTGGCGCTCGCCTCGAGTTGGCGCGGAGCGGCCTTCGTTGCAGGGGGGGGGCCCTAAACCCTAAACCCTAAACCGGGGGGAGGGGGCAGTTGGCTTTAGGGTGTCGGGTTCCAGCCCGACCCTGAATCCTGCCGGAAATCTGCAGTAAGTCTCCTGCTCTAGACTTAGGGTTTAGGGTTTAGGGTTTTGGGTGTAGGGCTTAGGGTTCACAGCCCTACTCCACACTAGGCCTTAGGCCTGGGCGGGAGGCGATGGGTACTTATAAGTAGGTTGTAGGCAGTTGGGGTAACTATGGATATCCTTTTTTCCCGGTACTTGTAACTCTACTTGTAACAAACGAGCCTTCGAGGAACAGCCTTAAACCCTAAACCAGATGACGGAATGCTTGCCAGCTTGTGCGAGTGCGAGAGTCGAAACCCTCGAAACCCTAAGCCCTGAACCCTACTTGTACGTACCCTAGAATGAACCTTCAAGTAAAGCCCAAGCCAACCTCCCGAACCTGGCAGGAGCGATGACACCACCGCGGCCCCGATTCGCTGGGCCTCGGCCGAGGCGTGGTGGGGCTTGGTTTGGTTTAGGGTTTAGGGGTTTAGTGGTTTAGGGGTTTATAGGGTTTAGGGTGTTCAGTTCTTGGGCGCGGAATGGGTTCCTGGGTAACCTACACGGAAGAAGGTCCGGGTGCGAAGAAGACTCTCGTTTCTTTGCCTTCTTTAAAGGGTTCAGAAGCATGGGCCTTTGGGTCTTAATTATGGGTTATAGAAGGGGTATATAAGGGGTCCCCCTTTTACGCGCTACCCTAAGAGAGTCAGGCCTGGAGTCTTGAAGAAGTAGGCTCGGAAGGCTTAACTTCGAACCCTCAGCAACCACGCCCCGCAAATCCATCGCCGGACTCTTGGCCAAGCCTCGAAGCCCCATACTTGATGTACTTGAAGGTTCATGGGTACTTCCAAGTGGGGTTCTGGGTGGTCAAAGTAAGGTCAGCACCATAGTTTCCCTACTTACAACCCTACTTGCAAGTAAGAATGAACCTCCAAGTGGCCTAAAATGAACACTCTACACCCTATTTTTTTAGCCCTTATAAACCCTAGTTACATACACCCTAACCCACCACACATGACGCCTTGTGAGCCAGGAGGTGGTGGAGCAAAGTGAGGCAGATGGAGCGCAGCTCCCGAAATTGCTGCTTCTAGGCTGCCCCCCAGAGAGGCTCTCAGCGTAGGTGACGGAGGGTCGGAAGAATTTCCAAGACTGCGGGTTGCAACACAAGGCTTGAACTCTCGAAAGAACCTCACTTGCTTGCGCTTGCTGTAAGAGTCGAAACCCCCAAAGCCCCAAAATCCTAAATACACCCCTCAAAAAGAAACCCTAAACCCACAAAAACCCTAAACCCTAAACCCTAAACCCTAAACCCTAAACCCTATTCCTCCAGCAACACCTAAAGATCCCCACCGAAGCTTGGCATCAGAGACGGGCCAAGGTTGCACCGCGCTTCCGAGGCCCGCAGTACGTTGAGGGCGCCGTCGGACGTTGCTTGCGTTTGGTTGGGTTTAGGGTTTAGGGTTTAGGGTTTAGGGTTTAGGGTTTAGGGTTTAGGGTTTAGGGTTTAGGGTTTAGGGTTTAGGGTTTAGGGTTTAGGGTTTAGGGTTTAGGGTTTAGGGTTTAGGTTTATAGGGGGATTGGGAGCCTTGCTGTCACGAGTACAGGGGGCTTGCAGGGCGGCCTTGGCTCACAGGGATATTATCGAGGCGGGCGAAGTCTCTTGGAAAAAGGTTTATGGGGATTAGGGCTCATATTGCGTTAATCGGAACTAAGGGTAGCATAGAGGCTGGCTGGAACGTAGACCTCTGAAGCGAGAAGCCTGCGGCGTCAGCTGATTTTTAGGGTTTTGGGTTTAGTGTTTTGCGTTTAGCGTTTAGGTGGGTTGGGGGTTTATGGTTCTTGGAGCAATGGATGTGCTATTGCAAGGCTAGGGAAAGGGCTTGCACGACCAAGCAATGGAGCAGTTTCAACGTCTGAAAAGCTCACCCAGATCCCAGATAACCCACGTTCGTTTTGTCGCGTTGGCGCAGGCGCAAGGGTTGGCTACTGCTACTGCGGTTACGCCGCTGGAGGTCACGGAACTTCCACAGCCACCAAGCCGCGCTGGGGGGAAGGGAGGAGTCTGTACGTGCCGAAGGGCTTTGAGAGGTTCACGTTTAATGTTGGACCTGGTTTAATAAGTAACCCCCCCCCCCACCCCCTCAACAGTCGCGAGCCTGAATAAAAAAAGACCCCAAACAGTCGGGGGGGGGGGGGTCCGGAGCCTCCCTAAGCTACCCCGCGACCCTGGAAAGGTCGAGGCTTCAAGTATCCCTTCTTCTCGAGAAAGCTTATGCCTTCCTGAAAACCGAAGGACTGAGGCCCGGGCCCCGGGAGACTTGCATTATAGCGGGCCCCCAAACAAAGGTATTAAAGTGTGTCCGGAGGACTCCGTAAGGTACCCCCTTTCCGGATATGATTCGCCTATGGAATCATGTAGTTTTAAGTAAGGAATTTATAAAGAAAAGGCGCCCTGAAAAAAGAAGATTGTCGGAGATCCTGGACAGGTCGAGGAGGGCTTCAAGTATCCCTCCTTCTCGAGAAAGCTTATGCCTTCCTGAAAACCGAAGGACTGAGCCCCTGGCCCCGGGAGACTTGCATTATAGCGGGCCCCCAAACAAAGGTATTAAAGTGTGTCCGGAGGCCTCCGTAAGGTACCCCCTTTCCGGATATGATTCGCCTATGGAATCATCTAGTTTTAAGTAAGGAATTTATAAAGAAAAGGCGCCCTGAAAAAAGAAGATTGTCGGAGATCCTGGACAGGTCGAGGCTTCAGGCTTCAAGTATCTCTCTTTCTCGAGAAGCTTATGCCTTCCTGACACCCTCAAAAAAACAGTCACGGCCCGAAATCTTTTCATTATAGCGGACCCCCAAAACAGAGGGCCAAGATCCTGAATAGCCGAAAAACTTTTCGTAATAGCGTCCCCCTAGAATATTGCGGGTGCAACATTAGTACAGTACCCAAGTCTGTGTGGAGACTATAGTAAACCCAAAAACATCGACATGTCCAGGATCAGACGAAGTATGCTATAGCTTGCAAACCCCAAGCCCGCCCAACCGTAAATACTAAAACCTCCCCTCCAAACGCCCGGAACCACTCAAGCCCTTCTAAACTAACAAGGAGAAGAAAATAACATAATTCTTAGCGGGGCTCATAGATAATCTTCTTGAGAGCCCGTGTGTTTTTAGATTATACTCTTCTTTCCCCAATAATATAACTCAGTAACTCTAATGGAACCACCTTTATGATTTCTCTTTCACTTTGTTTTTTAGTGTTATGTGACGCGTGTGAACAAGGAACACTTAGTTCTTACCTTTTCATCTAATATCCCAAACTACTTTGTTTATTGGTTCCATCTTGAGGAGATACGTGATTAATAGTAATAACATTAAGGGTTCTTTCTTTTTTTATGGGGCCCTTTGTTTGTTATTCACGAGTATAGTAGTATTCACGCGCCTTTCATTCATAGATTCATTCACGCTTGTAATCATATTATCTTCGTTAATTCTCTTGACCGGCTTCTTATCTTCACCTTTCCTAAGCCCTAAACCCTAAACCCTAAACCCCAAAACCCCAAAACCCTAAACCTCTGAACCCTAAACTCCTAAACCCTAAACCCCTAACCCCTAAACCCCCTACCCCCTAAACCCCTAAACCCTAAACCCTAAACCCTAAACCCAGCAAGCCACGCAACACCCAGGATGTTCGTAGGCGCCCGGGCGCGACTGGGCGCCGCCTGGGCGACGTTTTGGCGCCCGGAGCCGGTCAATGCGGAGGTGCGACGGTGCTTTGTAGGGGTTTAGGGTCTAGGGTTTATAGGGTTGAGGGTTTATAGGGTTTAGGGTTTATAGGGTTTTTAGGGTTTGTAGGTTTTAGGAGGGCTTGTAGGGTTTAATGTGTTTTTCTTTAAGGGTTTGTAGGGTTTATAGCGCAGAGAGCATCACGGTAGGGCGCAAGGCGATACATCCTGCCGTCGCTAGCGAGGACGGTGTGACTACACAGCCTCTGTCGGCCAGTCAAGTCCGAGGCGAGGCTTTGGGGCCTCAGGGTGTGCAAGGGGAGGGGCTTCGGGTGTAGGGTTTAGGGTTCAAAGAAGGGTTTCGAGTTTAGGGTTGGTGGGGTTTGGGGTGGGTTTTGGATTTTTCAGGAGGGTTGCGCCTTGGCGCAAAGTGTAAGTGGCCCTTTTGTCTTCTGTTCAGGAGCCTATGAGGCACTAGCTTCTAGAGGAGCTTTCACAACACCGTTCGCACTTGCAGTTACCTTACATCTTTGCATTTAGGCTCTCCAAAACAGGGGCCATCCACAGACAAAGTCTGGCCACATGTGACTTGGGGTTTTGCGGCTTGGGCTCTGCGTGGGATCTTCGGAAGCGGCATAAACACTTTACCTAAAATAAGAGTACCTATGTTGAGAGTATCAATTTCTGGGTTTCCATAAGAAAGATTAGGGTATTCTGAGATTCTGGGGCTTTTAAGCGGCACCCTCTTTTTGGGGGAAACCTTCACATGGACTCAAAGCGAGAACTGTAGAGTGAGATCTCAGGTTCGGTGAAGACTACTGTCTCCTTAGGGTCATGTTGTGCGGTTCATAAAACCTCACAGGATGCATCAAGATACGTCTTTTTTAATTTTATATATTTTTTTTCTAAATCTGGTCCTGAGGGGAGGTATAGATTGAAGACGTTCAGGCAACTGGATTTTCGCAGCCTGCGTGCTGAGCACCACGCTCGGCTTCATGGCTGTGCAACTTGGCCACCCACAGTCTACTCATTGCTTGAGAACCCCGAAAAAATGAAAAGTATGTTCTTCCTTATTAAGGGTAATTTCGGGATTGTTGTTTTTTTATTCTTTTGGGCTTCTTAGCAAATAGTAGCTCAGTGGGTTCTTGAGCAGGGCTTAGGGTTTCGCACGGGCCGAGCAAAACCGGGCGAGAACATCAAAGCCGGATGCAAAAGGGGTTAGGGTTTTGGGTGAACCTATAGCCCCAATGTATGTAAAAAAGTGTTCCTGTTTATGGGTTTTGTTTTTTTTTTTTTTTTTTTTAATGATTTGGGGTTCAGAAAGCCTGTATTGCTCCGGGCGCCATGTGGGGTTCGGTGACGTTTCCTGCGCTGGGCTGTTTGGGTTTGAGAGTCATGGCAGTTCAGCTTGTTCATGTGGGCTTTTCCGTGGTGCTCATTGAAAATTTCACAAAAAGAGCCGAAACCCGAATTAAACACAAAGAGTCTACACTAAACCCTAAACCCGAAACCCTCAAATGGCTGAGGTCCATCCGCAGCAGCAGGAAAGCAGCTGAAGGTGGTGGATGAAGCGACAAGGGCCTCATGAAAAACATCGGGCGAGGGAAGCCCTAAACCCTGTTTAAGGGTCCTTAGAGGAGGTTTCGGGTTCAGGGTTCATGCTTTATAGGAATTTTGAACCCTTAGCGACCGACCCACCATGGACCCAAAAAACCCTTCGAGGCTATGGGCTTTTAGGCCCAAGACGCCCTTGAACAGGAGGTTTTGGGTTTAGGGTTTCTGGGGACTATAGGGTATGGCAGACCAGTCAAACAAGAAGAATCATGTCGGAGGTCTGAGAGCTGGAAACTTAGAGAGCCCGCTCATTGACTCCTGCGCAGCGAAGCGTTCAATGAGTCAAACACCACCCCATCTATACATAGACGTACAAGTACGCACACACACAACTACCTACACATACACGCACACACAAATAAGTAAATAAACAGCTACATTAACGAGTGAGCAAATAAACAAACAAATAAATAGATAAATACACACACACATATATATAATATATTTATTTATTTTTACAAGTACAGCCGAAACCTGGTCCACCCATCTGGTTATGGCCTTGGCTTGCGCAGCATGGCGGCACCTCGGCTCCTTTTGGCTTTATCCCTGCCGTTGAGCGTGGGTGTACTTGGAGGATCATAGGTACTATGAGAGCTTTAGGGTACTTACAAGGCTACTTATGATGATTATCCATGAACCTTCAAGTAGGGTTCAAGATATTCTATGTGGCGCTACAAGCCTGTGGCAAGAAGGGTTTTGCATATCTCTAGCTATAGAACCGGAGACACTGTGGAGTTGGGACAAGGAGTTGGAGAGCAGAGTGCTGGAGTAGATGCCCCCTGTACTATTGAGCTGTTGCGATGTGGGGTCCCGCAGACCGTAAACCCAGTGCATGGCTTATGGGGCCTTAAAGTCTCCTTCAATACACTCAGTTTAGGGATTTCATGCGCGCTGCTTTGCAAGAAGGGTTTGGAGATGTTCTTTGGTCCGTGGAGAGGTCGCCCCCTATAGCAGTTGTTACTTGGCGTCCGGCTTGTGCGTGGCACTGCTTCGCAAGAACAGTGTTGGCATGTACTTTGGGCCACGGAGAGGTCGCAGTGGTCTCCCGACGTGAGGGAGTTTATAGGGAACCCGTGGGACTGTTGAGGAGAGAGTTAGGATTCAGGGTTCTCGGCCCTAAACCCAGGCAGTAGCATAGCGCGGGTTCAAAAAATGGGCCCTGAACTCGTAAACTCTAAACCCCAACCTAAGTCCTTGGTAATGAGGGATTTCAGGAGCTCCTGGTCCTTGTGGACTTGGACCGCAGCGGCGGCGTGGCGCTGGGGCTGGATGTCGCACCTGGGATGTGGGGGGTTTAGGGTTGGAGTTTAGAGTTTCGGCCTACCTTAGTAAACCAATGGAACCTTAAAAGGTTTAACTTAAGCCGAATTACATACAGGGGGTTTGGGGTTTTAAGTCAGGTTCCCGTATAAAAGGCTCTTTCAAAACCCCCAAAACCCAATTGATTCCCAGGGGTACCTTGGGACGTGAAAGGTTTGCGGCTTGCCTCCCAGAGCTTCACGGCTTCTAGGGCTCCTGTGGGGGTTCTTGGGGCCTGCTGACTTTCAAAGCTTAAGCCTCAAGTCTTCAAAAGCCCTGATCCATGAGACTATATGAGCCGACTCTGAGGAGACCGGCCGCCAGTCTCAGGGCTGGGTGCCTTGGACCTAGGAGCTGTTTGGGTTTAGGGTTTCGGGTTTAGGGTTCCTGCGTTTAGGGTTGCTGGGTTTTTGGTTTCTTTTTTGGGTTCAGGGTTTAGTGTTTAGGGTTGCTTCGCAGCTTTCCAGGGTGGGAGTTTGTCCAGGAGAGCTTGGAGAAGGCGTTGCATATACCTTCCCGCGGAGCACAGGATGAATGTCATGGAGCTGAGTAAGAAGGCTGAGAGGTCTTGCTTTTGAGAGGGACTGCCTGTCACCAAACTTGTACTTACTAAGCCTATCGTTCTTGGTCTTGGAGCACGATCCCTCGGATTTCTCACGAATCCGAGGATGGCAAGACGGTGCTCATCAAGCGAGCCGCTGTGCTTTAAATTGGTTTTCCCCCTTTCATGGTTAATACGGATTACGGCGGTGCTTGCCTAAAAGCGCGTTGAGATATTGGACTGGGACCATCTCTCACTTGATGTTCGTCTGTGTGGCAGCACATGCTGAGTCTGGCACGTCATGACACTCCCCAATGAGAGGTAGTCAGAGACCCTAAATATCCCCCCCAAAAGGCACCTGAGAGCCAATATCCAGGGCAACTTCCCCTCCCGAAGGTCAAGCCCGATGGGGCCGTGGCACAGTGGTGCCACGAACGGCCCGGGAGCGCAGGGGCAAAGAAATACCCTCTTGGGACATTGGCTTTTCTCCCCTGTTGATCTATTTTTTGGGAGCGTGTTTCCTATTGATCTTACTTGGGGAAGTCTTAAAGTTTACACACACATGCTCTAAGTTTTGCCCCAGGGACTCCTCAATTGCTTGCTTAAGGCTCAGGAGCTTCGTTTATTTTGGGCTTCGATACGGTTTAATTCGGGTCGAGGGTTCAACTCGGATTCAGGGTTTGAAGGGTTTGTAGGGTTATAGAGTTTATATGGTTTTATAGGGTTTAACAGGGTTTTATAGGGTTTACAGGGTTTATTGGGTTTCGGGACAGCTGCATTTGTCCAGGAGGGTCATCGAGGCCGGCGACCGCATCGTCTCGGCCAACGGCTGCCGCGGCGACGCTCTGCAGCGACGCGGCTGCAGTGCGTGAAGGCGTTTTTTGCCCCCTAACTATATAAGCCTAATTCAGGGGTGTTGTTCTAAGTTTCAGGCACCTTGGTAGATTGAATTTATCGTAAACACTAATTTTTGGAGGCTTTAATCAAGGGGAGCTGTTGTTGTGACAGACTACCCTAAGAAGGGGCCCCGAAGGAACAAGCTCTTGGCAAGGATTTCAGGGAGGGCGAACGGAATTATTGCAAGGTGCGCTGCTGCCGGATTTTATAAGTTCTTTCCACATGCGGTCTTGCGGGTGCACAGGTCGCAAGCATGGGCGGGTTTGTCTGAGGATACTCGCAGAATGCCAGAAGCTGGACAAGCTGAAGCTCGAGGTGGGGGATAACTAGTCGAAACCTCCTCGTTCTTTCGGTCGCACCCCTCCCCCGAAGCGCCCCTCCACGCAAAACCCTGGCAGATCCAACGCGCCCGCGTTGTGGCGCCCACAGCGACGCCCGCGCAGCCGACGCGGCCGCCAGCAGAGGTGGTGGAGGACAGGCGCCTATAAAGCCTATGTAGATGCAAAGTAATGGCAATTCCCCCTCCCCCCCCCCAACTCTCATGTGGAAATATTAGTCCATTATAGAGCAGTATATGGGGAAGGCTCGGGGCGGCGTGTTCAGGGGCGGGGGAACTGCCCATACGTGTATATACATGTACATAGACGGAGACCAAAGGGTGTACCTCCAACACTTTGGTTCCCATCTTTGTCTTTACAGGGGCTTCAAGAATAACCCTTCGATCGTAGACTCGTTGGTTTTGGGGTTCTCCGGGACCACTTTGGGATTTGCTTGGAGGTTCATGGGTACTTATACAAAGGGTTATAGGTACTGTAGCTGTGCTCTGGTTCTATCTAGCCGTACAGGGAACATATAGCCGTACTCAGAAGTACCACTTAAGTACCCATGAACCCAGCATCCATGTACCCATATGGTATATACTTGGGCCCTAAAGCTAAAGCTACTCAGCTACTCTATCGGAACCCCATTAATTCCCGAGAATCTACCGTCCAGGTACATGAACCCTTTTTCTGGGGAACCAATCCCTTCACTCTTTTGACCCCAAACCCTTCTTCTGAGTACCCCTAAACCTTCAAGTGCAGTTGAGGGTCCAGCTAGTAAGCCAGTCAGGAGATCGCCCTGAAGTTTTCGGAGGCACCCACTGCTGCCGAGGCCACTTCGCAAGCCAGGGGGCTCTGTATATGCGCGCATATGAAGGTTTTTAGTAGACAAGAACGAGTCTAAAGGAGCACTTTTAGTTGGTAAGGTTGGACTACCTTGTTCAATTAATAATTAACATTTTAGCAGGAACCCCTGCAAGGGACCCCGGAATGAGAACGAGCCGTTCTCAAATTTGCATCCCCGGACCGTATACCGCGAGGCGGTGGCACTGCTGCGGAAGGAGCTGAGCGGAGGCATGGATCCTTGCTATGGGGGTTTACGAAGATGAGGGGCCCCCACAATTAGACCCCCAAAATAGTAGGATTCCCTTATAGTAGGGAGCCCAAGAAGGTACCCCTAATTACGGAAACCCCAATGTGAGCCGAAAATTCGTGGGGGTCTTGTTCGAGGTAAGGTTTCCTTTTTGGGGAGGACCGTTCTTGAGAATCCTACCACCAGAAGTGTCTACGGTCTAGAACTTGGCCCCAGTAGTTCGCAAAGTGGGAACCTGCGAGGCGCAATCGCTCGCTGCTGGGACATGCGATGGGGCGCGCAGGCCTTGCTGGTTCTTAGTAGTGAATGAGGGAACTCTATACTTTGTAGCCCCTATATACATATTGTGTAGAGATACCCTTTAAAGGGCTCATATAGGGTACCTCTTCTTCCTTTATTCCCCACTATAGGAGCCAGCTGGTTGTAAAGTTTATGAGCTCTCCGTTGCTTGGCCTGCGAGCTACGTCATGCCCGAGTTTCCGATGAAGCTCATGTGGGGTAGGGGTCCGTTACACGGAGTCCCGGTGTCCAAGGCCTCTTCGCGACTTCGCGTAGAGAGCTTCTTCAAGCCTTTAAGTACTCATGTCCGGACCGTCCTTGCACTGGACAGCTCTTCGGCCAGGCGCTGCTGCGCATCGCCCAGAGGTCTACGTCTCGGACACGAAAAGCCTGGGCAAAGGACGGTGGTCACTTTAAGGGCGTCAGGTTCTGCTGCATCGGGGCGTACCTTTCCTGGCGTTTCTTTCGAGTACCAGCCCTTGAACTATGTATGCCCTAACCTACCAAAAGGACTTTTGACCAAGCATTCTGAGGACCCGGCAGTGTCGGAGCTGGTGGGCCGTCTGAGAGCCGACATCAGTCGGGCGGAGGCGCCTTTACGGATGAAGAGTTCAGATTTTGGGTGGTGGAGTTTTCCATTTGTTGCGTTCTTTCTGGCCCTGCGGTTTGGCAAAAAGCCTGCGGCATGTAGAACGATGCTGACTCGTCTGAGCGCATGCCTGAGCAGGATATGGCGGATGTGGAGGCTGCATTGATGGCTTTGGAAGGTGTGGCGCTTAGAGCGCATGTCTTGAAACACAAGTGCTCATTGGCGTACTACATGTCGGACTGGTGTTGTGAATTCACCGGCAGGTGGATTGCTACATCGGCGGTGCATACTATACATATATATATATGCATATACATATAAGTGTGTGTTTGTGTGTGTATCTGTACACTTTCAATCTAAAGCCACGGTGCTCTCCGATGAATTTGCCTTCTTTTGCCCAGGTCTCAAGCGACTTGGTGTAGCGCCAAGCGCTGCGGAGGTGGCGCTGATGGCAAAGAAACTTCGCGAGCCACGGCAGAAAATCCAATCCGTCTTCTTCCCCCGGAATGTATGCATGCAAATCTAAGGCCGCTGAACCCACTATGGTCTCGACGAAGGTGGGTGGTGAGCACCATCAATGGTCAAAGCATCCTGCGAAACGCATATTCTTTTTGAGCTCTTTGGGGCATCTGCGTTTTGTTGCTGTGGTGTGTTGCAACTAAGTGCCCCCGCCTGATAAGACACTCAGCCATTTTATTGCAGACCCCCCCCCCCCCCCTTTACACAATTCTTTCACCCTCTGATAAATAAACCTTGAAGTAAGCCCTCAGATTCTTAAATCCTCGTTTCACCGTTTCACCTTCTGATAAACACTGAAATGAGCCCTCCCAAGCCCTGAGCGCCTCGAGATGCCAGGGCTTCTGCCGCCTGCTGTGGCTGGCGGCGTCTTTGAGGGTGGCGGCGCCCGGCCTGGGCGAGGCGGCAGGCTGGAGAGCCCAAAGAGCCCAAGTATTAACTTCTAGTAGGGCTGGGGTTTAGGGTTGAGGGTTTAGGGCTTAGGCGGTTTAGGGTTTAGGGCGTACTATAGTATAGACCGCATGCCAGAAGTCAGTGCGCGTGGTGTCCTTCACTGCATAAATTCCTTGGGGAGGGGTTTCGGGCTCTCAGAGCGTGTGCAGGAATTCAGTCCTTGCCCTTTGGTATGTTCCCTTCATTAGACTCCCGTTGTGACGTGTGACTTGTGACTATATAGTGGGCCCTCACACACCTCTGGTGAATCCAACTAATGACCGACGTTTATGGTCCTTGCCGGTCCTTGCCCATTGTTAATAGGGGTGGCCGAAATCGGGGGGGGGGGGGGGTATTCAGGGGACCCCATTTTGTGGACACTCACGATTTGTTGTTTAGGCCGGGCCGGGGCTTTATACGTGCATTGTCTCTGTGCCTACCTAAAGCATAAGGCGAGTGTGGCAGTACACTCTTGTAAGTAGGCTTGTAGATGGTCACCAATCGCTGCGGCACTGTTACTGTTCTGTTCAGGGCATTATTCTTCCATGCTTTGACACCCGCGTGGCTCAAACCGCTTCTGTGCATATGCGTATTCCTCCTGAGTTGCCATGAGTGGCGACGTCCGCATGGAAATCCCCCGCCCTGTGCCAGACCTGATGCTGAAGCCAGGAACTCTGACTCGTGACTTCGGCACTCGCTCAGGCCTGCCAGTAGCTTGGTCCTCCCTACCAAAGAGGCGGAGAAGTGCCTACGGCATGCGGCCAGGCTATGCTACACGCATTCTCCGCCGCAGGGCCTGGTTCTACTTCTGCTGTTGCTTGCTGGGCTTGCTCATGAGTGGTGGCGGTGGCTCGTGCCTGGTCCCATCCTCGCCTGCATTGGATGTGAGAAACTTACCAAGGCCAGGTTTGGTCTTGAGTTGCCTTGAGGCATTGAGGCTTACATGCTCGGTGAGGGAGTAGAAATCTTGCACAGCCTGTGAATGCTTTATGCGAGCAAACGGCATGTTGCCTTGCAATTTGTACAAGCCGCGTACAAGGACGGCACTGTGGGCGTCCTCTTCAGAGTCGGATCGGAGTTCTGATGCTGAGAAGAGTGTCTCAAACGCATTTGACAAACGATTCAGTACGATGTGAGATGAGCTTGCTGCAGTTTGCTTGGAGCATTGAAGTTCGGCATGGGTTGGGCTTTCGTTGCGCTCGGAGAGTGCTTCCGTGTTAGGTAGGTGAGGCTCGTTGAGAACGATCTTTCTTGGAACCTTATTTTTCCGGGCTTATATATAAAGTCATATACATATGTATATGACATGTATATATATATTTATTTATTATATTTTGTTTTGTATATGCATACTTTTCTTCACAACTATGCTCTAGTAGAAAGCAAAGCTCTTGCGAACCTTGAACCTGCAGATGTATCCGAGGCAGGGACGAAGCTTTCCTGGCCCGTCTCGGTGGACTCGCGGAAGAGGCCCTGTCGTGGCCGCACCTCTCACAGCAGAAGACTCTTGAGTTTCGATTGAGCACAAGTGGGAATTGAAGAAGATATTTTCTTGAGGATGTTTTTGTAAATCGTTTTTGAGTCGTACTTGGTGCGGTGTTTGATCATTCGGTTTGTCTCGATCCTGAAGCAAGATGGCGTTGAAGCTGAGGAAGCTGATGTGGGCAGCTGCCTTGAAGCTTGGCGTCGTGCCCCTTCAGGAGCGACATAGACCTAGCACAGTCGCATCTTTTATCTTTCCCTGAAACTTGATCCCTACCATCCTGAAACCCGGAACTGCCCTCCGTGCCATTGCAGGAGATGCCGCCGTGGATATTGCAGCGGCGCAACCTTTCACGTCGGGATATGGGCCGGAACCCAAGACTCACGACGTTGTGGACACCTTGTTTCTGCCATGTATCTGCCCCTAACTTCCCTAACTATAAAGTCTATACGTCGTAGGTAATTGATGTAGCAACTCTCGCTGGAGGTGTGGACCTGCTTAGCATCGATGGGAGAACCTCCGTCCTTTGCCGCGCCGGGGTGGGCAATGCCACTGCGCTCCACCGCGACATCAAGCGCTTCCTGCGCACCTCCCGGTGGGTTTGTCAGGCCAGGCTACGTTTAGACCACCTGCATAGGAATGTCTGCATATCAACAGTTACATACACACACACACACATATTTATACATACAGACATACACATCTTGTCATAATGCTGATGTCGAGTGTTTTGAGCCATCGGAAAGCACTCCCCATGATCCTTGCGCAGGTGGAGGAGTGCCTCTTCGTCACGAGCTGGGGCACCAAGCTGCCGATCACGTCCGAGCAGTGGCTCAAAAGGCACAACGCGACGCGCAAAGCCATCAGCAATGCGGAGATGGAGCGGCTGTCAGCTTCATCATCGCATGCGTCAACCCATGATGCACGTGCCCATTCAACAAGTGGGGCAAGCTCTTCGCCGTTGCGCCCATGTCAGCAGGCCCCGATCTTCAACAGCCATTGAGGTAGCAACTGACCCCTTTTCCCAACTGATGGCCCGTCTCATCGTCAAACAAGTAGCTTATAATTGCAGCATTCGTTGGTGACTCGTCGCTTTCTGAGCCACGGCAGGCCTGCTTGGAAGCGTGTGCAACCGGGGCGCGGGTTATTCAGATGGCTTGCGGCTCGGGGAAGACGCGAGTCATCCAGGAGCTGGCCCGGAATGTGTCTGGCAAGGCGGGCGATGTTCATTGCTTTCAGCGGGGTATGGAGTTGAGCATGTTGAGCCGGCAACGTGCATTCAGAGTCGTGCCTTGAACACGCACACACACACACACACCCTCACGGTAGACTTTCAGTGCCATTGAGCTGCTCCTGCCAACGCCCGGTTAAGAAGAGGTGCTGATCACGGTGCCTTCGCGGGTGTTGCTGGAGCAGTTCGCGTCAGAGTTCCCGACTTTCTGCAAGGTGGGCATGGGCTACAACAAGAAAATCAAGAAACGAGCCTCTGGCTTCATTGCAGTAACGGATTCGGTCCACTTGCTCAAGGACTTGAAGTTCGAAGCCGCCTTTGTGGATGAGGCCCACCATCCGCTCCCACCAGGGATGCCAGAGAGCAAGGACCTCTATCTCTTCTCGGCGACACATCGTAACGCTACGGACTTTGACTACAGCATGGGGCAGGCTATTGAAGATGGGGTGCTGTGTGACTACGACCTCACCATTCCGGTGATCACAGAAGGCCATGCCTATTTGGGTTTGTCACATCTGCTGCTGCAGCATCCGGGCCGCTTCAGGCGAGTTCTGGCATACTGCAACACTGTGCGAGAGGCTCAGCGATTTCAGCGCACCCTTGAATTGGCAGGCATGGCTGCATGGCATATCAATGGCTTCACGAAGCGCAAATTGAGGGAAGAGGTGGTTCAGGAGTTCGCTGGGAGATTGCAGAAGCCGGTTCATGTCCTGGTGACAGTTCAAGTCCTGGGTGAGGGCGTTAACATTCCCAGTGCAGATACTTGCATGTTCGTCGAGCCACGCGAAAGCTACAGGAGCATTGTCCAAGCTATCGGCCGCATATTGCGACTGCAAACCTCGAAGCCGCTTGCTCACATCATTCTTCCGGGAGTGACAATGCCTGCAGAGGCACATGTCCCTGTAGGCCCTTCGTGTGAAGAAGGGCTCAATGCTGGTGCCGGTGCTGCTGCTTCCAACTCTTGGGATCTGAATGGCCTGGCAGTCGACCCAGGGCCCTCTAGCAGGAGTGTGCAACCCCAAGCAAAGCAGGAAGCGCCCGGATCTGCGGGATCTGAGTCGAAGGCGACGTCTACTATACAAGGCTTGGAGGCCCTCTCCGACTCCACGCATGCAATGCACATGCGTGCCTCTGGTCACGAAGGCGTTCATGTCAGTGAGTCGTTGCCGGCAGACGTGGGGCAAACGGAAAGCACCAGCAGCAAAGAGTTTCAAGCAAACACATTTCCGGACAAGCAGCTACCAGTTGGGACCACTGGCCAATTGCCAACACCTGGGTGCGAACCAAAGCAGGTCGAAGAGCCGCGGACGGAGTTTTTTGATGACAGCGATGCTTGGAGAACTTCTACGCAGCCTTATCTCAAGAACGACCATGGCAGCGTCAGGGCACTGGCACTGACGGAAGACGTGTCGAAATCCGAGCTACTGCAGCAAGCAGACGTCGAAGCGGTGAGAGCATCTAAGCAGCCGGTCATGTCCCCGAGGCAGAGAGTCAAGCTTTCCATCGGTGCCGACACACAAAGACAGGACAGCTTTGCTACACAGCTCGAGCGTTTTCTGTCCATCCTTGCTCACGCTGACAGTCGCTTGACTGGCTCTTCCTGGAACATGCTGGGGTCCCGAGTCTGGTTTGCTGACTGCAGAACCTCACAGGCGACATTCCTGGCCGCCGCCATCAAGCAAAGTTGGTTTCGTCAGCTTGCCATACTTCTGCGATGCCCTGATCGATGGGAAGCACGCATGCAGCAGTTGGAAGACTTTGTGGAGCACTATGGCCGGCTGCCTCGTTTATGGGGTGACCGACAGGAGATAAAGTTGTCCACCTGGCTGGCAGAGACTGGCAAGGGGATCAAACAGGGCGGCATGGCAGCAGCTCAGAGACTCCAGAGATGCCTGAATTCACCGTCGCCACTTGTTCGTCGTCGAGCGCAGAGTTGGCAGGATCCGGACAAGCATTTCCGCGAGGGCTGCGCCAAACTCAAGGACTTCTTGGACAGATTCCAGTGCTTGCCACCATGTTCAGGTGCGCGAGCAGATGTTGAATCCAAGAAGTTAAGAATCTGGTTGCAGCATCAGCGACAAGCTCTTCTGACCAACCCCAATTCACCCAGGCAAAGTCGCCGTCTCCAGACTCTGACAGCAATGGATCCTATTGTGGAGCAGTTTATGCAACCCCCATACAAAAAGCGCGGCAGCCGACATGCGTTGAAGGTTTTGTTGCCGTTGCAAAGATTCGTCGCCCAGACCGGCGAGCTTCCATCACGTCATAGCACGTCTGCAGAGGAGAGAAATATTTATGCAAGCATGGCACAGCTTCGGAGGAAGTTTCTGCAGCTGACGCCAAAGCAGCGGCTGCAGGTAGTAACCTCACATTCGCTCATAGCCAGCTTTATGGAACAGCTGCACAGGTAAATCTGCCTCTGGCTGTTTCTTGCAACTGGTGCGAAAAGTCCATGAATAAGCTGACCGCATCTCAGTTTGCTGCGCAGGTCTCAGACACAGGCTTTGTAGGGATAGTCGGGGAGGGGATGCAGACTAGATTTCTTTGTGGTGCCTTCACAATTGTGGGGCATGGCTTGAATCGGAAGTTGATGGCTCCCATACTCCTTTCCATGACCACACCTGGTGTGGATGCATGCAGGCTTGCTTCGAGTCCTCCGGAGTCGACCTGTTTCGGACTTCGATGGCTTTGACCTGCGGTGACCAGGTGTTGAAATCACCACATATTTGTCATTGTCTTTGTTGATTTCTTCGTATTCTTTAGCCACTTTAGCTTCAGTGGCCTGGTTAGTCTGTACTACAAGTTGATTTCCAGAGCCATCGTTGTGAACAAGGCTGCGCACAGATCTAAAAGAGTACCATCAGCCTGCTGCCCGTTCCTGGCCAACAGTCACAGACTGAGGATGTTGTTCGACGCCGCGCGGCGGTGGTCCGAGTCACAATGGCTGCAGGACCCCTTGTGGGAAATGCCGTGCACATGTTTCTGTTCGCTCCGATCTGTCGGGATGCCCAAAACCATGCCGTTGCTTCATTTTTCTGGCAGAGAGTAGTGTGAGCCGTGCTTTCTGCAGATAAGCCAGGCCAGGCTTGGGTTCTTCTGAAAACCAAAATTCCGCGCGCAGAAAGAACCCAGATTGTCACGAAGATGCTTGTCGCTTGCAGGAGGACCAGGACTTGCGGCCTGGGTCAATCCTGGCCAAAGAGGCCGTTTGCATTGTACATTTACGTGATGCAGCGCTTCAGTTCAGAATTGAGCATCCCCTATTTCATCTTTCGGTCGGCTGGCCACAATACACCTGCCTGATGAAACATAGCGCGCGCTATCCATTGTTTTAGGCTTAGTTCTGCTTTTTCTTTCTTGCTCCACTTCGGAATCCTATCCGAGAATTCGAAGTCGACGAGGACCATGCCGAATCCACCGCGGCTTTTGAACAAGCTTGCCTAAATTCCCTGGAGATGCAGGTGTCAGTGGCCGAAGAGGGCGTCCTCACATTCGGCCTGACTCTCAAAGTAGCTTGGCATGTTGTTGTACTTAGATACGGATGTGCCTGCGTGCCGTGATTTCCGTCTTTCCACCAACACACTGACACTGGCAAACATGACTTCACATTGCCCGTTGTCTGCAGGAGATTCTTGAAGGCTGGAGTTTGATTTTCAGCTTCGCTCCTGCTGCGGAGGCCCGGCCTTTTGCAGAATCAAGCCATATAGCTAAACCCAAGTTCCATTGATGTAGCTGAGTGGGCCTGAAGCATCCTGAATCCTTAGCCAGCAAAGTCAACGACAGCATGTCGATTCAGTCGTCATCGGGAGTTTGCTGAGGTAACGAGTTTGGGAATCATGCTTGAGCAACGGTGGCACCGTAACATGGGGCTGTGATCAGGATGCTGCCGCAGATGGGAAGCTGCTACCGTCGCTGTACGTGGCGAAGGAGTCAGGGTTGCCACCTGATTCTGCAAAGAAAATGTAGACTTTGTGCATCTTGTTCTGGGGGCGGTGCCATGCCCTGGGGACAAAATGACCTCTAAACATGGCGCCATATACCCTATGCTATCATAATTCCTGCTAAGGTATATAGGAACCACAAAACCTGTTTAGGGCTCATATAGGAACGACGGGGACTGAACTTGCAGAGCGGAATGGTAACCAACCCCAAACCCCAAACCCTAAACCCCAAACCTTAAACCCCAGCCTCCCATCGAGCCGATCTTCACAGGATGGGCGGCTCTCTGCAAGCTTCGTGGAATCCAAGGAGAGCTTCCTGGGCCGAAATTTGGAAGGCTTAGGGTTTAATTAGGGTTTAGGGGTTTAGGGTTTAGGGTTTAGGGTTTATAGGGTTAATGGTTTAGGGTTTAGTGTTTAGGGGGTTTAGGGTGTTTGTCCCAAGGATGCCCTCAAGGTCGGTGTCGCGGATGTAAGATACTCAGGTGCTTTTGGTCTATCTCGTTTGTTGAGAATTGGGAGAAGAGGCAAAAACAGACTCATCGCCGCATGCCCTGCCTTTAGCCTGGCGCTCGTGCTGCATGCTCCAGCAGGCTCTACCAAGCAGCCGTTTGGTCGGTTTGTGAGCCCAAGCCTGAAACCTTGAGTCCAAACCCTAAACATTGTACTCTAAACAGTTGCGCCTACACACTAAATGCTCGCTGCAACTGGCGCCCCTAGCGCCCCCTCATCCGGCGTCTCATCCCGCACGCTCGCCTTGCACCATGGTCGGCGAAGACCCGGAGCCTTCGGCACTGCGCGTGCGCAGCTGACCTGAAAGTTGGGGCTGAGTCGGGTTTGAGTGGATTTCAGGTTTTGCTTCGGATTCGTGCGGTTATGGGCCCAAGGTGTGGCGTGATATCTTTGAGTGCATTTGCACTGAGAACCAGTATTCCTCGTAGCAGAAGTGACAGTGATCCTCTGGAAGGTTTATGTGCTTTTCTTGGCAGTCATGTTCAGAAGCTCGAAGCCGAGCACTATATATGCATTGAGTCGTCGAGATGCTGGAGCCCACGAGGTGTCGTGCAGCTCTCTGGTGAGGAGCTCCCCGAGATCCATGCTCAACGACGCTCGGGCTGACTGTCAAAGGCTTTGTACCCCGAAACTCTAAACCTTAAATCCTAAACCCTAAACCCTAAATCCTAAACCCTAAACCCTAAACCCTAAACCCTACACCCTACACCCTAACCCCAACATGCCAAGGCCAAGCCCAACCCTGGCCTGCCGGTAGCTTCAGGTATCAATAGGCACTACGTGCATGGCATCTTGAGCACTTCCAGGGCTCTATTCCCAGCACTTTTTGAAGTGCCTCAGGTTTTTTGAATTTGGGGTTTAAGGTTGGGGGTTCAGAGTTTAAGGCAGCAAAACGATCCCCTCACAAGGAAGCTGGCTGCTGGAGGAGCTCAAGGACTGCCCTGGTGGGCTCAGAGGAATTGTTTATCCCTCCTCTTTGTAGGCCGCTTGTTGGGAGCAAGCTGATGTCCTCAGAGCTTTGAGACAACGACTGTGGAGGTGTGTGCTGGTGCCTGTAGAATTGCAAGATTCTGGTAGGCTTCTGTATCGGAGTGTTAATAATTGGGGGGTAAGTGCACGGAGATTTGGGATCCTCGCGTTTTGGTTTCAGGGTCAAGTACATACAGGCGGAGGAACGTTATTCCAGACATTGGCAAGTAGATCCCCTTGAATCTTTCGTTGAAGTTACCGAATAAGATATATTCCTGCTACTTGGGCGTTCTACTTTCTAGAAAATAAAGTCTCCCAAGCGGAGGACCACCTCCACGTGGTGCATCTTGGATGAAGCTGTCACCATGGTTGTTTCTGGTGGTACGGTCCAAGTTCTCTGTTCAAAGTGCGACTTTGCGGGGCAAAAGTGCGCCCTTAGATTTGCCTGTGGACAATGAATCAAGCGTTTGTGTTTTCATGTCTCAGAGGTGGGAGTTCCGAAGTTTATTCAGGGCCCATTTCGCAAAGATCAGGTATCTATCCTAAAAGTGCCTGAAGCACATCTGCCCCCCAAACCCTATTCTCCTTATCAGCCCAAAGGCGTAGGGAGGACCCTCGAACCCCTAAGTCCCTCACATCCTAAATCCTGCAGTGTCGTTGCCTGCCTGCTAGGCAGGTGGCAAAAATAAACCCTAAACCCTAAACCCTAAACCCTAAACCCTAAACCCTAAACCCTAAGAGCCCATGGGAAGCCCTCGAGGACCGGACTCCCAGCCTTCGAGCAGCGCCTGATCCATGGGGCCACCGAGCCCCTTGGGGGGCGATTTTGGGGGTGCTCTGGGCTTTAGAGGGACTTATAGGGATTTAGGGTTTAGGGATGTAGGGGTTTAGGGAATTTAGGGTTTAGGGATTTAGGGTTTAGGGATTTAGGGTTCAGGGATTTAGGGTTTAGGGGTTCAGGGCTTTGGAGGGATTTTGGGATTTAGGGTTTAGGGACAAGGGTTTACTTAGGGTTTAGGGTTTACGGGTTTTGGGTTTTGGGTTTTGGGTTTTGGGTTTTGGGAGTATTCAGGGTCCGGCAGCAAAAGGGTGTAGGGTTTACACCTGAGAAACCCAAGCCTACCTCTTTTGTAGGTTACCTAAGAACCCGATAAGGGGTAGGATTAAATTAACCTACTACAATGTAGGTTTTGGGTTCTGAAGTAGGGTTGAGTGCTTAAGGTTTACTACCCAAGCCACCCAATGACAAAGAAATATGAGCTGATGCTGACTGTCTAGCTGCTTCATCCTTCTTAGGTAGGGCCCTTGCACTGCTTCAACACCCCTCTCTACGAACCTACTAAGAGATCGTTGGGGCATTTCAGTCCCCCACTGGAAAGAGAACCCGGAAGGCCAGCATGGCCTGAAGAGCACCCCCTGAGGCTCGCGGATCCGGCGCAGAACCTGGGCCGCGGTTTTTGAGGGGCTCCAGGGTCTTGGGCTTGCAGGGTTTAGAACCTTGGCGTATGTTGCCTGGGTACCCAATTCCCCGATTGCCTGCCCTGAGCCCGTGGTGCCCAGGGCGTACAGTTTGCGGATGGATCTCGATCTCCAACTTCAGGTTAGCAGAATACCAGGAAAACCAGGAAAGCAAGCGCCCAAGTAGTCTTAATCCTTTCTTGTTAGCAGGGCTCAACCCAAACACAGGCCCTTTATTTCTGGTAGGCTTGTTTTGCGTTGAGGGATGCCCGGTGGGAATGAAAGGTCTGTCGGACTGATTGTTACGTTAGGGTAAGGGATGTTGGATAGTGGTGGCTGGGAGGCTTTGTGTGCCTTAGATTGTGTCGGGCATAGTACACTGCGTATTGCTTTGGGGTAATTTTAAGTTTCCCTTCTTTCCCTTTTAAGGGAACCTACTCATTGTCATTAAAAAAACAAAATGTCTTTAAAGCAACACCCAGTACAGGATCCCATGAAATCAGGCCAGTGGGCGATGTTGCGGGCGAAAGCGGCGACCTGGAACTCACGGTGGTCAGGCGCGGGCTTCTCGCACAGGCGCCCACTGGGAATTTCAGTTCAGGACCAGAGAGTGCGAGCCCAACACTTTGGGATGTTCCCCCTTGTACTAACAGGCCTAAACAGGAATTATAGTAGGGGATAATTACTATAATTTGATCCCTATTGGGGACTGTTCGTATAAGGGGGAACAGCCCATTATCTGCCTTAAACGAGATTTTTTACACCCGCGTGTTGTTCCAGGTGCTTTGGTTCCCTAGGCCTTCATCAGAGGTAGGAGCAGGCAGTTCCCGTTTAGGCCATGCTCAAGTGAGAACTGCCTCTGGCCTGACCTGTGAGATGACTTTAAATACCCCAAAGCCTTATTTATTCACTTAGGCGAATTTCCGGCTCTCTAGGGACGCAAGCTCAACTGCAGTCTCCGACTGCAGTCTCCGTGTTTCTATGTTGAGGCATGTAAGTTGTGTGAGTTTTGTTTAGAGCGCTTGGAACTTAGGCTTGCGGGGTGGTGGGATTACTGTTCTTTGGCTTTGGGGCTTCCAGGTGTCCTCGTACCCAACTTGGGTTTGGATGCAACAGGGTTTATATTCCTGTTCTTGGTGAGTGTATTCAGGGTTCATATTCAGCATTGGTGAGTGTGTGTATAGGGGGGGGGGGTTTCCTTTTGGGGCTACGAATAACGTAAACCCCAATTACGCCACCTAGGGCCTAAAACGATGTAAGCAGTTGAACACCCAAACCCCACATCGAGACCCCCTAGATCATGTCGGCGCCATTTCCAAAGCGTCGATCTTAGCTTGTTTGGATAGTTGGCTGCCTGGTTGTTCGTCATGAGTTGTTTAAACCCCTTCAGCACTTGCCATGAAGGTGCGAAGCAGCCCCAAAACGATTGACATCGTCGGCAACGGGGATCTACAGCACAGCCGTCGCCCGGCGCTTGCCACATTGCCGCGTAGGGGGTCATGGCTTCTCCAAGGCCTCGACCATCCCAAGAGGTTCATGGGTACTTGCTTAGAGAACCCCAATCATAAGTCTACTTATAACCTATTTAAAAGACCTAGGGGACTTGGGGTCTTAGGGATTATTATCTTAATTCTTTTTTTGGAGGTTCTGAGGCAAATAGTAGTTCTGGGTCGGATTCTAGACGACCATTTAACCATCTAAGCTCGGAAGGGGCATGTTCTCGTCGGAGTCAATGGTAAAACCCTCTGGCCCCTACCTGGAACCCCCAGATTCTGAGGCCCGGGAGCTGAACCTCCGAGGCTTCAAGGGGTTTAGGGTTTATAGGGTTTATAGGGTTTATAGGGTTTATAGGGTTTATAGGGTTTATAGGGTTTAGGGTTTAGGGTTTAGGGTGGCCTTACTTGGAGGTTCATGGGTACTTAGAACCCCAGTTATTACCGTACGGGGGAGGTGTGCTTAAGCAACTAGTCGAGCGTTCCAGGTCTCTTGTTTAGTCGCCCAAATTTTCCCTTCGAGTTGAGGCTCCTTTGCCAAGTACATTCTGCCCAACCATGGGATGGCTCTGCAGCACCTCAGCAAAGAGCTGCAAGAGGAGAGGGCTTTTAAGGGTTTGGGTTTTGGGGTTTAGGGTTTAGGGCTTCGAGAGAGGGGTGCAATTGTCATGCCTGTGTCCCAGCTGATAGTGCAGAGCCTGGGTTCAAAAGGGTTTAGGGTTTAGGGTTTAGGGTTGCTTTATGATGCAGATCCGTGAAGAGTCTGAAACACGCATTACCAGCATGGGCTATTTTACCCTATAACCCCTTCGAGAGGGTTGCTTGGGGGGATCTTAGGGCCCACACTCCGACATGGCCGGAACCCCACCCACCAACCCCAGCCCCCACTCTGACATGAATAAAACCCTAGTATATAACCCTGCAAACCATCTTGTAAGCTAGGACCCGTGCGTCAGCACAGACCTCATTTCTTGGATTTACGGCATCATAACGGGTTTCGGCTTGATAAAAATTGAGGCATGTACGTGAGGAGAACTTTTCCCTATAGGCAACAATCAGAGACATCCTCGCCAGGACGAAGAGTTAGCACTTCTGGCCGTTCGTTCGAACCCCAACGCGAACGTGCGGCAGATATGAGGAGGTCGCAGGGTGTCTGACTCAAAACATTGACAAGATATTTCTAAGATTCGGCCTGAAGGTTTCTGAAAGCTCGGACGCAGAAAGCTTTAGAATCTTTCTGCGTGGCAAGGCGCCCAAAAGGTCTTGTTTGAAGTGGTGCTTCATGTCTCCTTATAAAGCTCGAAGCAGTATAAGCAGAGTAGTCGCAACCCTCCACAGGTACCCTACATGCAACCCTACGTATCCTAAACCCTAAATGCTATACTTGTAAGTGCCCGAATCAACCTTCAAGTAGCTCTAAACCCTAAATCCAAACCCTAGGGTATTTGTGGGCTGAGGCTGTTTGGTGGTCCTACTGCTCGCCAGGCGCCCGGCTCCCCAGAGTATGCGAAAACCCATGGGTTTTAGGGTTTCAGGGTTATGGGGTTAGGGTTTAGTGTTTAGGTTTTAAAGGGTTTGGGGCTGAAACTCCCTGAGCCTTGTGGGCAGTTTGGGGCTTTGGTGCTTGGTACTTGTGATTAGTAGGGTTATATGTACCCTAAGTGAGGTCATAGCCATAGCTACCCTACTCATGAGCTGTTTTTGAATACCCATGAACCTCCCTGCTCTGTTGCCTCGACCAAAAACCCCAAGCCTCACACCGAACTGAGTAGGCAGACCCAAACCCAGATTCTCAATTGCAGAATATTCCACACTTGTCATTGGGATCCCTATTGGAATGAACATAAGATTCCGTAAACAAAGGTGGGCGTCCAGGGTTTGGCACCATCCACCGCCCACTTCAGGCGGAGATTCCCGTCAGGGTCATGTTTACGGCGGCCCTGAAATTGCAGCGCCTGGGCGGGAGTGACTAGGGCTGTCTGGTATAGTGTTTGAGGCTATAGGGTTTAGTTTAGGGTTACAGGGTCTACTTCGAGGTTCAGTTTTACGTACTTATAAATAGCGGCATAACTAGGGGTGGCTCGGGTTACAACCTTTCTTAGGTTACTTAGAACCCTACTTACTCAGGGCTTGGGCATCGGGGTCGGTTTGGGTGCTTGCTTGAGCCAGAGGGAGTGGTTGGGTTTTCATTTTCTTTGGATATTCAGCGATCCTTTTCGGAGGGTTTTGGGGTATTTAGGGTTCAGGGTTGGTCCGCTGGAGCAGGGCAATTAGGGTGTATCTCCGCGCAGCCCACCAAGGCGGCGAATGTGTTCACTGGCCAACCGTGCGGCCTCCCAGATTTCGCGCACTCTTGTGCTTCTGGCTTCGCCACTTGAAGCCTGAAATCTACACCCGCAACCGTTCATCTGAGTGAGAATGCCCGTGGTGCCCTAAACCCTAAACCCTCATGCACTATAGCAACCCTACCGATTGTTGCCTCCAGGTCTCACATGTGTGGCTCAATGAGCCTCTGTGGGATAGCTGCATTGGTTTGATGGACAAGAAGCGGCCAGCTACCCTATCCTTCCAGGGACCTCATAGCTAGGCTAGTTGGCAGACGTCCAGAAACAGTTGCAAAGCGAAAAGCTTGTGTGACTTCTTGTTGGATATGGGTAGGGGGATGTGCAAAACCTCAACCATCGGGTTTATACCCTTAATTAAGATCCCAAAACCTACCTTTTTTGAGGTGTAGGTTCTGAGTCTAAAGCTCGATTTACAGCAAAAATGCAGGTTGCGGGTGTTCAGCAAGGCTTTTGAGGCTTTAGCTTCAGAAATGAGGTCGAAGTGGGGACAACGACGGGGTCAAGGTCTTCCGCTGTGTCGAGGCAGGGTCGGAATTGTGGGTTTGGGTTTAGGGGTTATAGAGCTTAGGGTTCAGGGTTCAGGTTTTCAGGGTTCAGGGTTCAGGGATTAGGTTAGGGTTTAGGGTTGAGGCCTTGTTATTGTCTCTAGAAACTGAATTGCTAAGTTGGAAGGAAAAGCCCTCCCACCCTAAATCCCCTCAACCCTGAACCCCCTAAACCCTAAAACCAAAACCCACCACGAAACACGGGGAGGGGGGGATGAAGGGAGTTAATCCCTGACCTCTAAACCGTAAACGCCTCAATCGGTGGTCTCGTTGTTCACAAATGGCCCTAGCCGACAAGGCGTGGCAGCCCTGTCGCAAATGCACACAACGACCTGCCTGACACCCCACACAGTGTCTGATGGGTCAGCTGGTATCATGTGAGGTGCTTGTTAGTTATCTAGGATGTTGTGGGATTGAGTTCGGGCAAAGTGCAACTTGGACACAGATTCGGTAGAGATCCTCTATCTCAATGCCTCTAGCCGTCAGACTTTGCCCCGTCAATCTTCGTGTGTAGAGTAGGGTCCTCGCGCGCGTGCTGGACGGGTGGCAAGAATCCCTGTGCTTTTTGCAGGGTCATATGGGTATGGCTATCACCTTATTTAGGAACTCGACTGAAAAGTACCCATGAAGGTCCAAGTAGCCCTAAACCCTAAACCGTAAACCCCGAAACCCTAATCTACCCCTCGACCTGGGAGGCTGCCTCGCGTATGCCACTGAATCTGGTTCGCCGGTGGCTGGTTCGAAGCCCAGAGCTCTCGGCTTCGGGTTTGCGGAATTTGTGGGGCGGGGGTGGGGAATTCGGCATTTTGTTGGGGTTTGGGGAATCTGGGGGGGGGGGGGGGGGGGGGGGGGGAAATTGACATTTTCTAAGAAAAGGGAGGAGGGGTGGCCTTTGAGTTAAGTCCTTGGTAGAGAGAGAGAGAGACAGAGTTAAGCCGTAAACCATAAACCCTAAAGCCTATGTTACATACGATACATGCCGGAAATCTGAGGAAACCCAAAAGAATCGCGAAATCCTTTGCAGAAGCCTCGCGGGGAGGCGCGCCGCAGCCTGGAAGATCGCGCCGCAGGCCGAGAGTTCTGTTTAGGGTTTAGGGTTTAGGTTTAGGGTTTAGGGTTTAGGCTTTACAACTGAAGGTGAGTTAGGGCTTAGATGAGTGATCATTCAAAGGAAGCATTGAAGAGGGAGCCTCTAGCGTTGCGGGGGGATTTGGCGCCGACCTATCTCTCGCGCACTATTTCGGGGCTCCTTTCGCTGCACCCTTCGACCCCCGATCCTGCAAGAAGTGGCAAGCCAAATCGGGTTGTATAGACACACACTCTCTCTCTCTCTCTCTCTCTATTCTCTCTCTCTATTCTCTCTCTCACTCTTTCTCTCTCTCTCTCTGGTCGTGGTGACCATCAGAGGCTGAGAGTTTTGCTCTGAGAGATATGAGCTGGGGGTGGGCGAAACCCCCAAGTTCTCCGCTCTCGAAGCCCCAGACTTGTGTCACCACTTTATGAAAAGTATACCTGAACTCCTGTATGTAGGGGTATACAGCATCCAAAATTCTGCAGTTTGGGGTTGCAGGGTTCGCCTCCAGCAGAATGCCGGCGCGCTACAGTCGACAAATGTCTTCCTTGAATGCTCTTCTGGCCGCTCGGCAAGTCTTTAAGGTGAACCTGGGGCAATTGAGCTGAGAAGGGTTTCGGGTTGAAGGGTTTAGGGTTTTTTGCGCATTGCACCTACGTCGACTGAAGCTCCCGAGCATGTCCGCAACGCCTCCGCTGGCTGCAAGCCTTGTAACCAGAACTGAAGCCATGAAATTGGTAGAAACGAGGACCCTAAACCCTAAATCCCCTCAAAGGAATCCCTGTGGAGGGGTTCTGCGGGGGCTAACAACCTCAAAGCGGTGGCTGCACAGATTCCCTGCCGGTCCCCTCGTGAGATCTTGTATGCTCACACGCGCGACCCCGCAGGCAGGCGCGCCAAGAGCTGCAAGATTCCGCTATGTCGTCAGTTCTCAAAGTGGATGCTTCGGAACCGTCCGCAAGAATGCATGCCGAAGCCCCTAAACCCTAGGCTCCTAAACCCTAAACCCTGAACTCTAAACCCTAAACCCCTCAAGGCCCTAGTACCCCTCTTGTGGCCCAGGAGGACTGCAGGATCCTTGAGGTGTGCCGCATCCGCGAGGCTGTCCATTGGGCTCTTTAGGGTTTAGGGTTGGAGCGAAGTGGGATAAGCAGTATTCCGGCAACGCCCTCAGTCCGGCTGCAAAAAAAGTCCTCAAGCCCAATTGCAAAAGGGTTTAGGGTTTAGGGTTTAGGGTTTAAGGTTTAGGGTTTAGGGTTTAGGGTTTAGGGTTTAGGGTTTCGACATACAGTTTCCACAAGCCTCTTTAGGGTTTATAGGGCTTTATGTATAGGGTGTGTACAAGGCGTCAGGTGTGAATAGCGTTAGGTTTTTACAACGGTTGCAGGGTTTTTTTTTATAGCCTTCACAGGGCCTGTATAGGGCTTATTTGGTTTAGCAATGAGCGAGAAGACTGTTTGCATTGGGTTCGAGGTCATTAACGCAAGCTTTCTGGTTTCGATTGAAGCGTTCAAGGCTTTCCCTGGTTTAGTATGTAAGGCCTTGATCTCTTGTCTGGGTTTCCAAAGAAGCCTATAATGGGGTTTAATCCGACATGCTATGAAAGAGATGGCTTTGGCTTCCTTACCTCAACCATCAGCCACCATGATTCGCATGATCGCTGACAGCGAATCGGCACTGAAAAATTCCGGCGAATCCAGATGGGGACCACGCCCCCAAAAATCCAGTGGCAAACGCAGCGAAACCCATTCCAAAAAATCAGCGGGGCGGAGACAGCACTTAGTACTTCGGCACGAACGAGTCCTCCCGCTAGAACGTCATCAAAAAAACACATTCAAAACCACATCTTCACAGTTGGCACCGGCCTTCACAGGTTTATGCAGGTTTCACATGTTTTCACAGATCCTCACAGGGTTTTCACAGGCTTCGCAGGTTTCCACAGATCTGCACAGGTGTACACTGTTTTTTTTTTGACAGGGTTTCGCAAGTCTTCACAGGGTTTCATTGTCACAGATTTTTCAAGGTATCAAGGTATTTGCAGAACGACACAGACTGTTTATTCTGTGAAGATCTGTTTTCTGACGTATGTAACATTGTGGCATTAGCGACGACCCTGGAACTGTGTGCAACCCGTTACCCCACGACCGCACATGATATTTTCCAGCAGGCTGATTCGCATGGTATTGCCCAACGAAAGTGCTACATATGCCTTTCCAGCTGTCCATGCCTAGGGTATGTATAGGATTACGGGTTTGGACTTCGGTTGCGGTCTGTTGAACTTCAGGTTCACATTCGTGCAACCCTTGCGGCACCTGAAGAAAGCAAACCTTAACCTTAACCCCCTAAACCCTGCAACCCTAAACCGCCTAAACCCTAAACCGCCTAAACCTTAAGCCGCCTAAACCCTAAACCCTAAACCCTAAACCCTAAACCCTAAACCCCAAAAACAACTTGCACCAACTCCCTCAAGATCCATGTCCTGAAGGTTGCCCTGGTGATTGCACCCAATCTGCATGGTGGGCCAAGGGATGAGGGCTTTGTTTAGGGTTTAGGGGTTTAGGGTTTAGGGTTTAGGGTTTAGGGTTTAGGGTTTGGCACTAGACTTCCAGGGGCCCAAGAAGTAAGCTATGAGGACCCCATAAATTGTTCCCTGGAAGGTTTGGGTAAGCTTAGGGTATATGGTTCACCAGTTATAACTTAGAAGTTTTAGCGCCCGTCGCCTTAACTTGGCCAAAAACTGGCCTTGGGGCGAACAAGAATAGACCACAACACAACAGCTGGCTCGTGCAGGCGGCCAGCAAGAACAGGCTCCCCCCTGCCCCCCCCCCCCCGCCTTCTCAGTATGCTCCAAGCCCCATAAACCCTGTAAACCCTAAAAACCCTATCAACCCTATAAACCCTAAACCCTATAAACCCAAGACCCTAAACTCTATTGCAAGCCAGAGGCTGGGGGAGCCTTACATGGGAAAGGGCAACTTTGTGCTACCTTTCCGACATGTGTCTCAAGAGTCTCAACGTATTGCCCTTAGGATGTAGCGGGCACACGATGAGGCTCACGTCTTCCTCAAGAAAGTTAACCTAGGCAGTCTTATAGGATTGTTGGAAGAGCCCCTAATTTGGGTGCCCTTGAACCTTAAGTTGCAACCGTGATCTTTATTTCAGGATTTCAAGAACCATTCCGCAATGGAGTCTCTGGCTTGGGCTTGGGACGCACAGCAGGCGCCTTGTCGCAGCCACGTTTGATGCGTATCTGTTCATCGCCAAGGTGAAGTATTGTGGCTGGTTGCTGCGCTTCTGCCCGGAGTTCCAGGGGGACAAGGAGGTTGCCCTCGCCGCGGCGGGTTGGCTGCAGAGCTTGTGATGGTTCGAGAGTGAGGTTTCGAAGCCGCTTCTGAGCCAGAGACAGCCTGAACCCTCCAAAATCCCATACCCCCCCAAAAAAACCCTAAACCCTAAACCCTAACCCTAAACCCAGAACCCGTAATCCTTATACCTCAACTCAAGAGTGAGGCCCTCGGCTCTCTCTCTCTCTCTCTCTCTCCACCTGCCCTCCTGACCTTCGGAGCCCTGACACATCTGGCCCGCACCTTCCGTGGACCCTACAGGGTTTAGGGTTTAGGGTTTAGGGTTTAGGGTTTCGAGGAACCCTAAACAGTGCAAGCTTCGGAGGTGAAGCAGAATGGTTGGGCCATCCAGCACGTCGACAGGGAGCTGAAGGAGGACACGCTACAGCGTTTAGGTTTTAGCAGTCTTATAGGCCTGGATGCAAAAAGGAAAGAACAAGTTTTAGGGTGAAGGAGGACACTGCCAGGGTTTTAGGATCTTAGGGTTTCAGGGTTTTAGTGCTTTAGGGCTTAGGGTTCAGGGTTTGAAGCTGCAAAGCACTCTGGCCACTGCGTCCGAGTTGAGAGTGCGAAAGGGGTTCGGGAGCCAGTGTTGCGGTGAGTCGCCACGCCCTGTGGCGGAATACCCCCGTGAGTTTAGGGTGTAGGGTGTATAGGGTTTAGGAAATGAACTCCAAGACATAGGGTTTAGGAAATGAATTTCAAGACAAGATGCATGCAGCCAGAAACCCCGCGAAGTGCCCGGCAGGCAGACCGTTCCATCTCCATGGCAGCCGTGAGGCCGCGACTCACGCGCAGCATCCAAGCCAGGGCCTCTTTTTGGGATCCTTATGACAAGGGTGCCGTATTAGATAGGGGGACTTTCAGAACAGGACCCTAACTTTGAGAACTACCCCATACCAAGGTAAGCCCTATAAGCCCTAAACCTTAAACCCTTTTTGCAGCACACCCTAAACCTTAATTAAACCTGTGCAGTGCGGGTGGCAAAAAACACTAAACCCATCAACCCTACATGGTGATTCTGTATAGCTCGCATGGACCCCTCTGCACAATGCTCAGGTTTAGGGCTTAGGGCTTAGGGTTCGGGGTCTAGTAGGGACCCTCACAAGTCTCGGGAAGAATTTCGCCACAGGAACTCCTACCACGTCATGAAGATGATCCCGGAACGCTGGCGGCACGACGACGACGTAGTGGTTGCAGGCATCAAGGAGCTTCTGGCACTTGCCGCTGGCGTTGAAGCCTGTGAAGCCCATATATAGGTGAGACCTCAAGGGAACTTTTGTATTTTTCTAAACTACCCTAAACCCTAAACCTTAAACCCTAAACCCTAAACCCTAAACCCGCCCAAGGCTTCTGTTATCAGAGGGTTCTATCCACGCGTATTTTTCAGGGGGTTGAAAACAGCCCCAAGCATCCTCGGGGGTAGCTCTCGGCGGAACGCACACACGCACGCAAGCAAGCATATAGGAACCAAAAAACACATGCAGACAACCACCATAGCAACAAAGGAAACTAAGAATGCATGGTAGTAACCATACTCAAGAAACTCAGACAAGAAGAATCAAGAAGAAGTAGTAGTGGCGGTTGTGGTCGTTCTAGCAACGGTAGCAATCATCACCATAGATCAGCACCCTACACCCTTTTGAGCAACGGACTCTAAGCCCTAAACCCTAAATCTAAACCCTAACCCCTACTCTTCTTCTGCAGTCGGCGCCTTATTTTCACTCCATCTGCCTCCACCCTGGCCCTATAAACCCTAAACCCACTGTGGACGGGGTGTTGGAGATCTCGGGCCTGGGGTTCAAGTTGCGTGTCTGGGGTTTGTGATTTTCAGCGTGAAGGCTAAGGGTTTAGGGCCTTTAGGGTTTCGGGTTTAGGGCTAAGGGTGCAGGGGTTTCAGGGCTTTCTCGCTGTTCTTTTTCCGGAGCTTCATGTGTCTAACTCGGGCATATGCACACAAGAGTCACAAGAGGTCTTGCCTAAACCCCAAATAGAGTACAATAGTGCCATGGTGAGGATACCCTAAACCCAAAGCCCCTAGAACCCTCAAGCCCTAAAACCCTAAAACCTAAACAGCGCAGTCGCGCCTCAGATTCAGAGACAGCGCTGAGTAGAAAAAAAACTTAAAACCCTAAAACTCTAAAGCCCGAAAGCCCTGAAAGCCCTGAAAACCCTAAAGCCTAAACCCCAAACCCTAAAACCACACAGGAGAACTGGCGGGCCTTTGTCCTGGCTCCTCCGGAAATGAGGCCCCCTCGCCACGGCCATAAACCCTTTGCCCTGCTTCCTTAAGGTTCAGGGTTTAGGGTTTAGGGTTTAGGGTTTAGGGTTTACCCCTCCTACAGAGGGATTGGGTACCTCCTAAGGATGGCTCTGGGGCCTCGATGTTCGGGGTGTTGAGGGCCCATGATCCTTAGGGTTGAGTATCCATGGGCACCTTTGTACCCTTTCCCTAAGGGTCCATGTATCTAAAATAGGGAATACTTGGGCCTTAAAGTACTTCCAATATAAGGACTTTGGGGCCCAAGTATATAATAATAAGGTACATGGGGTTGGGGTTCAGGTATTAATCAGAGATGACGTATTGTACTCTTCACCGGGGCATGTCCACTCGATCAGTCTAAGCCCGAAGACCCGGTTGCTGGGGCAACGCACATAGGAGTAAGACCACCATCCGAAAGGGTTTAGGGTTTAGGGTTTAGGAGTAAAGGATAGGCGGGTGACTGGCAGTCAGCAAGTCCAGCTTCAAAAAAAGGCAAAAATCGACACCTTTAGAGCATTGCGATGAACCTCTTGAGGGTATCATCATGAGCACAAAGTGAACCGTTGAAGAGGTGCCAAAACGTGGTAGACAAGACTGCCAAGGTTAAGGTGTAGGGTTTAGGCTATGGTTTAGGGTTTGTCAGAGGGCGGGCGGTTCTAGGCGGCAACCTCCATGCCTTGAACTCCCGACACCCGCCACTGTTGGCCATGTCTCATGCCGAGAGGAGTCGAAGGCCCATCCTCCTTGCAGCCGTCCAGAGGTCAGCCTTGTGGAGCTTGTGGTGCGGGGTTCGCCCTTATATGTGCAGGGTTGAAGTATGTTGAAGTATGAAGTTAGGGCCTGAGTGGGCCGCAAGCCCGGTTTGAGAAGTCCTCGAAGGACCGGGGGGGGGGGGGGGGGGGGGGGTAAAGTTCTGCAATAAACCCTAAACCCTTAACCCTAAAGGCTTGGCTTGTGGCAGTCCTTGAGTTCGGGTTTGGCACCTTAAGACCCCTTCTGAACAGACATGGGCAGATACTCAGCCTGTAAACCCCATAAGCCAGAATAGAAACCCTACATCCTGCTTGGGCTACAAAAGGGAAAAGCAGGCACCCTCAGCCTTCCCAACGCATGTTGACATGTTGGACGAAGTCACCTCGCACACTACATCAAGGGTCCTAGGTTCAAGTTTTCGGGCCTCTCTCTCTCTCTATGTATATATATATATATATACCCCCCCCCCCCAAATGCCCTCGCATATTTGGGCTCGAACCTCTGAGGCTGCGTCCTTCAATCCTGATCATTCTACTCAACCTCTCTCCAAGTAGCTGCTGCCATGACCCAGAACACGGAGTATGCGGAGCCTGTGCCCCACCTCCAAGGAAGGCTTTCACCAATGGAGCCTGCGTGGCAGCCTCCTGTCTACCAGCCTCCTCCTGCCTATCCGGAGTGTGCGGAGCCTGTGCCACACCTCCTTGGTAGGCTTACGCCGATGGAGGCTGCGTGGCAGCTTCCTGTCTGCCAGCCTCCTGCCTGCCAGGCTCCTGCCTGCCAGCCCATGATGTCTGTGCCAACTGTGTACACCACACAGCCATGGCAGGGCCCTAGCGGCTACATGAATCAGTACGCGGCACCGTCTCAGGAGCCGCACCTGGTGATGGCTCCGAGCCCAATGCGTCCATGTGAGTGTGCTCCACTGGTCGTTCAAGTTGCAGTTCCGGTAGAGCCTGCAGCCACAAGCACAAAGCAGCAGCTTCTCTTGGACCCCTTCCTACAGCACCCAGATGCTCCAACCTCCACGCCTTCCGCCAAGCCAGGCAAGCCGTGGTTGTCCCGAAGCAACCCGGTAGGCCTTCTAAGGATAGTTTTCACATTTTCCCATTTTGGGTTTAAGAGGGAGTCATGTTCAGAAATCTTTTTTTCAGAGGGGTTGCCCTGTTTCTGAGGGAAATTCCCAGATCCTCTCTGAACCTGAAAAACTCTAAACCCTAAACCCTGAACCCTAAACCTAAGCCCTAAACCCTAAACCCTGAACCCTATGTTTAAGGGCCATCCCAGGCCACCGCGGAAGCAACCCTCAGCAGACTCCGATGCCCCCCGGCCCGGTCTCGAGCAGCACGGGCGGGCAGGAGCAACGAGGCAGAAGCGTACAACCCTCCCATAACGCGCAGCAGGCTGGGTGTTTCCGATATATTTGGGGGGGGGGGGGGGGGGGTTCCTGTCCTTCTTCTAAGGGACCAGGGAATCCTACTATTTAGGGTTCATATTCGGGGACCCTTAGAATTTTCGTCAACCTGCAGGTGGCCAACCTTTTTGAGGGTGGCAAGACGACCGTCATGCTCCGCAACATCCCCAATCGATACAACTGTGACTATATCCCCCTTGGGAATTTTGTTTTGCTTTTGTTTGTCTAAACCCAAGAGGATACTAAAAATAGTATGGAAGTATGTGTAACGGGCGAGTGTAGCAGCAAGCATGTTGTAAGCACTGCCAGCTTGAAGCAAGGCCGTTGTATGTTAGATTTGAGGCTCGAGGTGGCGATGCTCAGGTGAATGTAGGCCGCTTTGCCCTATGTCAAGGAGGCGGAGGGATGAGGGTGACGTCCCTCGTAATATCCCTTTGCCGGTCATGATTGACGGAGCAGCTAGCAGCGAGCTGAATTTCACCGCTTCCTTCGAGAACCTAGATGCTTACATATTTTTCATGGTCTACGGCGACCGAGGACAGGAGCTGGGACACGCTGTGAGAAAGATTCTGCAAAGGTTTGAAAAGGATTCCGAGGGATGCTCCGTGCAGTTGCAGTACTTGGGTTGCAGCGACCCTTACTATCGATGGTACATTGAGCATGAGGGTGAGAGAGGAGGACTTCCCCGCAATGCTTACCACCATCTTTGCAGAAGGCACCACATGAGGTGTGCCCGTGCCCTCGGCGGACAGGACACCATCCATATCCAGAGGTGGACTCCTGTGTCTAGGCAGGAGGCCAATGATTTGCTCAAGAGTTGGGGGGGTCGAGGCTTGCCAGCTGAGCCAAGGCCTCCCGCGCGTGACAGGAAGCCGGCCGGCGACCTCAACACAGCCCCGAAGTCAAAAGCCCGGCAAAGCCAAGGCTTGGCAAGTCTTCCTGCGCCAAAGGTTGACGAACCGCAGAATGTGGACGATGACGAAGATGAGGATGAACCAGAGGCTCGGCCACCATTGAGGCGCAGCAAAAAGAGGGGTCCGAAGCAACGTGATGTCGGTCACGCTGCTGCCCTTGATGTTATGCTAGACGAAGGCGATGTCAACCTGGAGTCCCCTTTGAGCAGCAAGAAGGTGGACGACAGGTTGGCTCATTTGAGGGCCAAACTGCGCGGCAAGCAGGCCGAGGCGCGAGTTGGACGAAGCACAGGCTCGGTGTTGGCTGCACGTGCTACAGAAGTCAGTCAGAAGCCGAAGAAAAAGAAGAAGAAAGGGATTCTGGATGAGCTCAAGAAGGCACTCTCCCCCGGTGGCGGCCGGACAGAGAAAGATGACAGCGAAGAGGACTCAGATGATCAGGAGGACGACCTCGTGATTGACGAGCCAGCCTCCTCGTCTTGGCAAAACAAACGCCGGAGGCTTCGCAAGATCGCAGATGACAAGCCGGGCAAGCTGCTGATGGATTCACTACAAGGCCTGCATGAACAGCTGGGGTCTGTAACCGGAGAGGAAGCCAGTGACAGCTTGTCGCCGGTGCTGGTTCGCTACTTGCTCACCATGGTGGTCCCGAGCTTCCCAGGAAAGCTGCATGGCACCGAGAAGTACCGGGAGCTGCGCACGCTGGCTCAGGCAGTGGACCTCCTGCTCAAGGGCAAGGTCGATGCGGTCGGTGACCTTTTGGTTCAGCGCTTCAAGAGCCTCGTTATGGGACTACGTGATGGAACTGAAAAGTTCGGTCATTTCTTGGAGCTCATCCCAGAAGAAAGTCTGGGGGGGACCAGTGATGAGGTCTTCTTTGCCCGGGAGCTGGCGGTCAAGGCAGCGAAGTCCGAGGCTCTGCTCAAGGGCTAGGGACTCCGCGGGGAGCTGGGTCGGGCTACCCCAGCTCCTCAACGCGACCCCTTGCACCCGAAGCCTGCGCAGGAGTTGACGAGATCCATGTCGCCTCCGGCGCCGAAGGACACACCCAGTCGACCACCCTTGCAGAGAAAAAGAGATCCTTCGGCGGAGAGCGAAAAGGGAAAGCGCACGGACCGCAAAGTGTCATTCTCGGACGAGCCTGCCAAGGTGAAGACCATGGGCCTCCGAGATGCGAGAGAGAGCACTCCACGCAAGCAGGGAGAAACCCGCAAGGCGTGGAAGGACTTCTTCCGGGGAGCGCCCCGTGCATTTTTAATCCGCCGGCCGGTTTGAGTGAGCCAAGTACAGCCTCAGGTGCCGGCCTGGGGGGTATCACTAGCCACAGTGCCGAAGCGAGGTTGCTGCAGTTGTTGGACGTTGTTCGTTTTGAGGGCCATGCTTCGATTCACTCTTACTTCTTAGCAGGTTTGCCTGAACAGCAGCACATTTTGCAATTAGGGGTGACAGCGCTGCAGCTCCTGTTTCTAAGCCCGCTGGATGGGCAACTGGTCAAGGCGTCACTGCTTTCCAGGATTCGAGAAACAGCCGCGCCTACTTCGCGTCAGAGGGATTTGTTACCTTTGCCTCTGCCGCCCATAGGAGCTGCTTTGCAATTACTTGAACAGTGCGTAAGGTCACCCTCGGGTCTTCTGACTTGGTCCCCAGGCCCAAACCACAAGAAGAGAAAGCAGAAGCAACAAAAGCTGATCATGGCTGGCACTGCTCAACTTTGGAGGTTTCTGGTTGTCGCTACTCTCAATGGGGAGTATATAGGCTGGAATGGCGTACTCTTCCCTCTTGTAGACAGTGCCCCAAGCTCCTCACAACAGGCGGCCCTTAGGAACATTTCCTGCTTGGTCGAGTACTTTGTTAGATCCCCGCTGGACTTGAGGGTAGGCCGTTGTTTCGAGGAGTTGGTCCGAAGTAAGGGTGTTGACTATGCGGGTGAGGAGGTGTTGCACGCTTTGCCCGTGAGGCTGGGAGAGATATTGCCTGGTCTTCCGGCGGACAACGTGGCGGGGACCTTGAAGGCAGCGTCGGTTGCCTCAGGGGATGTCCTGAAATGGTTACAGAATCCCATGGAGTGCATCCTGCCCGAAGACCAATGGCCTGATCCTTTGCCCTCCGCATCCATGAACTGTGAAAAGAGCGAGTGGCCGATGATTGCTAGAGTTCTGGTTGAAAAGCGAATTCTGACTCCTATCGACAGCCAGGACATTTTTAAAGTTCGCGGAAAACCGCTGTTAAATGGGATCTTCTCTGTGGAGAAAAAGGGAGCGCCGGCTCCTGGACAATGCCGCATTACCCGGCTTATAATGAACTGTGTCCCTTCCAATTCCATTCAACGGTTAATGACAGGGGACCTGCCTACCCTGAGCTCATCTTCTCAATGGACTGCTGCCTACCTCAGACCCACGCAGGTCCTGCTCTGGTCGGGCGACGATCAGCGGGGGGCCTTCTACGCATGGGCTCTACCCGAGGCTTGGCGACCCTTCCTTGCTTTTCGTTGGCCTGTACAAGGAAAAGATATTGGGTTGCCAAGTAAAGGGCTTGTGTATTTGGCGTCTGCTGTAATTCCTATGGGATGGGTGAATGCTGTGAGTTTGTTCCAACACCTTCATAGACAACTGGGAATTTCGCCGGTGCCTGCCGGTGCCGGCCTCCCACAGGAAATGGAGTGGCGCAGGGATTGTCCCGTGC